TTCTCCAATTTAAAATGCTTTTTAAAAAATTATTTTAAGCAATAAGTAAGTGCTAAGTTACTTAGCAGTTCTCTACTTTTAACTTTCCTACGTTCTTCCCATGTATGTATGGCTGCATGACGAGATTCAATCTTTTCATTAGTTATCTCCAAAAGACCTAACTCTGGCTGTCAAGGCAGACAGAACTGACTGAATCATAAAATATGCCGAGGTGGAAGGGACCCATCAGGATCTACGAGTCCAATTCCTGGCCCTGTGTAGGGCACCCCAAGAATCACACTGTGTGCCTGACAGAATCATCCAAATGCTTCTTCAACTCAGGCAGGCTTGGTGCTGTGACCACTTCCCTGGGGAGCTTGTTCCAGTACTTGACTGCTCTTGGGCTGAAAACCCTTTTCCTGATATCCAACCTAAACATCCCCTGATTCAGTTTCCTGCCACTTCCCTGAGTCCAGTCATTGGTCACAGGAGTGAAGAGATCAGTACCTGCCTCATCTCTCCCCCTCATGAGGAAGCCATAAACTGCAATGGGGTCACCCCTCAGCCTTCCACAGATTTCCTCAACAACAAGACATTCAATACCTTTTCTATTGCCTACTAAAGCCCAGGAAAACACCCTACTTCTGGCACACAGTTTGAGTGCTTTTACCCAGTGTAGGAAAAACAACTGCTTCTTCATCAATGCTGTTCCATAACACATAAGCTGGCACCTCTCCCAGAAAATACATATGCCATCTATATAAGACATATGGCTTCTTCTAGCTTAAGGAGTAACAGCCTCAAGGTTGCTCTCAGACATGGCTTTTTCTGTAAAAGTACATCTTGCCGAACAAGAGATGGAAATGAGCTGTGACTTTCTTTTCATCCATATACATTTCCAATGTACTTACTTTCTCAAATCCCAGCTCACATGTTGAATTAGAGGCCTGCTGAAAAGCTTCCATCTGTTCTTGCTCATCGTGTGCATCCCACAATACATCACCAAAAATTTCTTCTTCAGGAGCAGTAGACTCCTCCTTACTGCCCAAATCCTTGCCTTCTAATTCTGTTGTTTCACACCCCAATATATCCTAAGTAGAAAGAAAACTATGTGGAGAAAACTGCAACTGTAATTCTTAACAGGACAAGCACATTCTGTGTTAGTCTCAAATCCACTGCATGAGTGCAGCTCTACTACCATGAATATGCTCATTTCCTTTTAGACTAGCAGAGAACATAAACAAATGAGCAATTAGATGAAACCAAGTTAACTCTGAAAGCACAGGTCTCAAGACACTGGTTTTAGTCTTCTCATAGTGGAAGCAACCCAACACAAGGAAGGGTAAGGACAAAACAGATTATGCTATCTTTCCTTAACCTATGAAATGCATAAAGGAAAAAAAAAAAGATAATTTAATCCTATGATACGGATAAAGAGAAATGAAAAGATAATTTAAGCCACAAATAGATCCCTTTCCCCCATTACTTCTGCTACTGTCTATAAAAGCACTGCTCAGTTTTGGATTTTATTTTCCACCTGCAGATTTCTTTGCTTGCCAGATACTAATAGAAAAACAGAAAAAGGTCCTTTGAATTACGTCTAAGTAGCATAGAGTGAACACACTGACACCATTTAAGATCATAAATCAGAGCAGGAACAGAAAAAGCTGAAATGTATTGTGTACTCTACCTGTTTAATTATCTTTTCCATACAATTATAGATTTTGTATGCTCCTTTCTCCACATCTCCAATGTGATCAATCATCTGAAAAAGTAAATGCCAAAGCATGATGGAACTCTGAACCCAATACTGGGAACAGTATTTAAACTTCCTACAAAAACATTCTGGAACACATTTAAATTCCATTCTGTTGCATTCCTTAACTTTGCCTAAGCTTTTCAAAGTTGGGCATCTAGTTTCAGCTGTTCTCAACAGTTCTCTCTGTAGAGGGAAATAAATGGCAACTGATCTATTTCCAGACAGGAGGCATCTCTCTGGAGGTATTCTTCTTCTTCAGTGGCTACAGAGGGACCTTAGATAAATAACTGCCATTTAAATGGCTTAGCACAAGGGATAAATTCTATCCTTAATGCACAGGAATTTTTTTTTCAAGGAAAATGCAGTGGATTTTTTCCTCCCTTGCTAATGAAAATTCCATAATATCCATATATTTCAGCTTCATCAATCTGCTCAAACAATGAGCATTCAGAGCAATGTGCGTTAACACAATTTCTCCTAAAATGTGGGACTGATAGCACTCAATGTTGTTTATAGCAGGAAAGCAAGGCTTTTAAAAAATTCAACAGTCTTTGAAATGTCATACCTTTGCTTTGTTCACATACGAAATTTGTTCGATTAACTGTTGCACTGAGACTGAACTGACTCTGCCACCCTCCTTTCTGTGGTAAATTAGCCGGGGTTTTTCTTCTGGATTTCTCAAGAAGGCTTCTTCACAGTCTTCCAACAAACAACTAGATTGGAAATCAGCATTCTTGTGCTATATTACACTGCTGTAGTAAACAGTTCAATCAACACAAGCTCTGAAGATGGGTTTCACTGCAAACTCTAATTCAAAAGTCTTATCTAATTACAACAAAAGGCAAGCAAATATTTAAGCAGAGAACTTAAGATAAACTCTGAAGCAAGGAACAGCTAAGAGAGAAATTTATGCTACTTGCACCAAAAATATTACAACCATTTATTATTTGTTTTTATTATTGTTTTGCAAATGAAAAGTTTATCTTCCCATCATACTAATACAAATACACAGAGCGAATAACTGTCTTGCTTGAAAGAACATGGATTCACACATGATTAAGAAGCACCATATACATGCTCTGCCATCAATTATTTGAAGGCTCTGTTCTATCCCTTGACCTTTTTAGGATAAATACTTAAGTATTCATCTGATGTAGGATAGTCTTTTAATTTATAATTGAAAAAGAGAATTACACATCTCCAAACTCAAAAGCACTCTGTGTGCTTTACATATGTGAACGGATAGCATTCCCAGCAATCCATTGCTGTTCCATGGAAGGAACTGTACAACTTGGGGATGCTGACAATAGCAGACAAGATTTCTCAAATACTACGTTGTTTATACAAGCACTGCCATTTTCATCACTGTTTTTCTATGAGAAACTTTCTAAGTAAATACCATTGGCAGGAATACTCCTTTGTGGGTTTTTTCCTCGCATATGTTGTTCTTACACACTTGTAACAGCAGCTGACATTATCTTTCTAAAGCACAAATGTATGGCAGCTCTAGTTTGATTCCTCAAAGAAAACAAACCAACATCTCCTGTGGTACCGGGCTGTTCCCTGAAGCACTCCACCACTGTTTTAAATCTTAGCTACTAGTGTCCTAAACTAGCCTTTACTTGTCTGTGGACAGATGTTTTATTTAAAGAAATAGGAGGTTAATACTAGAACTCTAATAATACAGTATTTGAAAACTCTAAAGTTCAAAATCTTCCTCTATTATGAAACTTAATGCACATCAGTATTTTCAAATATTTGCATTCACACAGACATTTTGGAATGACCACTCTGAAAGCCTTAATATTGTCTTTTCTATTCACTTTGTCTCTCTTCTTCAGCAAAAGGACACCCCTCCCTCCGCCAAACATCAAAACAAAACTCTGCCCAAAATTCCTAAATGTGTGACAGAAACACAATTCTAAAAGTATCCCTAGTTTGGTGCCTTTCAATTAGTAAGTCCCATTTATTCTTCTAGGTTAGGAAACTACCCACTAAACAAACTTATGTGTCATAAAACACCTTGATTTCAGTAAAATAAGCTGTAGAAAGTTAGTGTAAGGTAACACACAGAAAAGCCATTAAATCAGTCAGAAAAGCAGCCAAAGATAGAGAAGAATGTGTGACAGAATAAAATAAAAATACTACAGACAGGTGGAAGGCTAGATAAGCAAATGAAGAACACTGAAGACATTCACATCAGCCATCTTGAATTACTAAGACTCCAGCAATAAGCACAACAGAAAGCTGCTCTTGGAAAGCAAAACATTCCTGCACTATGAAGATATCTTTTATGCTGTATTTTAAGAGAATCTGTAGCTACAAGAAAAAGGAAATGATACAAAGCTGATATATTCGTTCAACTGTCTGTACTGGGAAACCTGAAGTTGGAAGGAGTATCACTTAGATGATACTAGCTTAGGAAACGTACTGAGCAAAACCCCACATACATTTTAGTAAGCTATGCACTCCGCATCAACTGCAAATTGGCTGGCTTTGCCAGTCTGAAAAATACTTACCTTGGCAAAGTTAAATGGAGAAGCAAAACGACTAATGAACTTTTTTCAATTTCCCATTTTCTTACATCCTTAAGAGGTCTTTCATTTTCTGTTGAAAAATGAACAACTTGAAAGAAGTAGCCCATTGTTTCACAGTGTCTTTGAAGTTTGGGTGAGTAGTTCTGAAAGCAAATTTGAATAATGGTGCTTTGTTATGAAATCTGCATAGCACTAAGGACCTACTAGGCAAATCTCACTTTCTTTTCTCTATGTTGTTTCTTTCCCTGAAGTCTTTGGTAATACTTTCACTGACTTCAGGCTACACCTACTAAAGCTTTCAAGAAATGTCAGACAAATTTCAGAACAAGTATTGCAGTGGAAACAAGAGCATCCAAGTTAGTGCTAGTTTATGAGATACTCACTCTAAGGAAGATGTCCACTTCTGGTTGAGTCTCATCAGTACTAATAATAAAACATCTTACTGTGTTACTCCACAGAGAGTGAGAAAACAGAGGAGTAACTTGCAATAAACTGGCAACAGCAGCATCCCAATCATCTGCCAAGGAAAAAACCACAAAATTAAGTCGAGAGCTTCACATCTGATTACACTGCATAACACATAAGTCAACACCTCCTAACATTATGCCTACAACCTGGTCTGACAATCAAATTTTTATTAATGCCCCTTTAATCCAATTAAAAAATACAATTAATATATGGATTTGGTTTATTCTAATATGACTATTATTCACACTCAGGAAGTAGAAAATCCGAATACAGATGAAAAAAAGAACCACAGCAGGTATTGAAAGAAAGATCACTTTCTTTCTTTGTCAACATAAGCAACAAAATGATATTTGGTTTACACACAATGAAGCACCATTCACTGCTGTTTGCTAAAATCACTGCTGCACACATCATAGTCACCAGACACATTAAACATAACTTAGCATGTACAGCTACAGATCAGCTTTATCGTTACAAAGAATTCCACACAACCTTTTAGTCAAATTACCCAAGAATGAACAGAAAAGGAGCTAATAAAGAACAGAATTATTTAAGAATGGATAGAAAAATTACATTGACACATTATCTTAGCAAAACAAACCACCACAACTTACCTCTGTTTATATTTGCAAATGGTCCCTCAACGTCTATAGAGCTATGAGCAAATTCAGGCCCTCTGAAAGACTGCTGAAGTTGCATCATACTACCCATGGATGGCTCACTTCCCAAAGCTCCTCCATTCCAGTACTCGGATTGTGCCCCAGTGGCTAATATTGGGGGGAAAAAAAAGAAAAACAAAACAAACAAAAAAGACTCTTCCTTGTCACTAAACAAGACAAATTACCACTCTTAAATACTCAGCTGAAACCTACTACCACATGCCAGTGACCATAGTTTTTTCCTCCTTTAGCAGATTTGTAGCTGATGAGAAGCCATGCTACTGAAGAACAAGGTTATTTGCCATTATTTGTTGTTATACAGACTGCTCACACCTATTGGGTTCAAATTTTGGCTTGGATTACAAATTAGGAAAACTGTTCTCAGTATTACTGCAATCATTTGAACATATCACAAGACCAAAAACGTTTGTTCAGGGAAGTTCCAGAACTGAAAGAGCGTAACAGAGCTGTAGGTCAGGTCTGAAATATGTTCCCTGTGCTGTGTGAAAGACCTTCCACAGTATCTCTTTGTAATATGTTTGGATTACACGTCCACCAACTTTCCAGACACTAAACAAAATCTTACTTGAAGAACATCAGGAAATTGAAAAAAACCTAGAAAATGGTAAGAAGGGTAAGAAGAATGAAATAAAAAATTAATTTAACACTACAGAAGACAGAAAAAACATATAAAAGAAAACAAGACTATCTGTACCACTAAAGTTCGCCAAAGCATAATCAGCAGGCAAAAAGCAAACCAATCCTGAAATGTTTCTTCTTTTAAAGATTGCATGTTTATACTCCTGCCAAGATGTAACTGTTCAAATATCTCTATGAGCAAAACAAAGGCTAAGCAACAGGACTTGCAGAGAGTTCTTCCTTAGCAACTCTTCACAGTGCAAGAAGTAGTGGTGGCCATTCTTAATAAAATTAAAGAGCTAGCTGTCCGCTACAATTTTTGCTCTGTTTTCGATCGGATACAAAGTCAGAGAACTGACCACAGACCTATTTGAATCCTTCCCATGTTATCAAGTACCTCTTAGGGCTTACATAAAGGTTTTGCCTTTTATGTCATTAAGATTTCTAGAGCTTCCATTTCAAAAAATTCTTCAATAAAATTATTCTTTTGGTCAGTTCATGTTTGTTAAATATACAACTTCTATTCTGAAAAGCACAGCAGCTCAGACTGGCATACTTCATAATCCATAGACAGGAAGACTATCCAAGATTCCCTCTGGTTTCAGGTCTGTTTTTTGGAACACGATCTCTCAGAGCTAGAAACTGAAAACTCAAGAGGATGACACAACTCACGATTATTCGTGGAACAACCTTTAAAAACATTCAAGTTACTGTGTTTAGACAGTTCTCATTCATAAGACCAGAAATGTAGGGTTCCCACCATCTAAAACTAGTTTGTAAAGTCAGCTGCTTTTACTCTAGAAACTAATTTATCTTGCTTTTCATCTGAATTATTTTTTTTCCAAAGTACATAAATATTTCTCTTGTGCTTTACTATTCAGATATTTCAGTCATGTCCCAACACAAAAAAGCTGCGGATGAAATTCTCACCTGTAACATCTGTACAATTATCATCAGAATCCGACTCTTCAGGATCAAATACTTGGATTCCTTGGGCCTGGAGTCTCTGAAGTTTTGCTTCTAGCTCTCGTTTGGCTCTCAGTAAGTCCTGAATCTCATTTTCTTTAGTTTCTCTAAAAATCTATGAGTGGGGGGGGGGAAATAAAAATATCGTAAATCTTCTAAAATTCAGTATCAGTTCCTGAATTAATGCTACCTGCTTTCAACTGGGAAAATAAGTTTCCAGTGTATATTTAGAAGCAAAGGCATGAAAACATGACAATTAAGCCATCAAGAAACAGGAACACATAGTTTAAATTCATATGTTTTTAAAATTTTACCTTTACCTTTTTAAACCTTTGCATACATTTCTGAAAGTCAGAAGTCTGCATTAGTATGGAAAGTTCATTAAAAATAGCAAGTAACTTTATTCACCTTTTACAGTTTATTGTATTCTAAAATCACTACATGTAACAATTTTTTCAAAGGTTCCATTTTATCCTTCCATATATTTTTTTTTACATTTACATATAATCTAGTATTTAATTTTGATTGTTACAGAAATTTAAATGTCCTAAGATAGGAAGTGATCAAGCATCTCCAGCTGTCCAGTTTGTAAAATACTACCATCTTGGGGGGTGAAAACACAAACCTAGCTTTACATACAAAGAGATGAGATCTTCTTCAAGCCTCATTTTCTTCAATAAGGTCAAAACCAGTTCTCTTTTTATACATACAACAAACATTAAAATCAGTTACAATTAAAGATATCAAGAACCTTGTCAACAGTGCAAAACCAGAACACACTGCCCTGTTTTGGTGGCAGAAGTATCATCACAAAAAGCAAGGCAAAAGTAGAAGCAACACCTTGGCCTTTCAAGTCATCCCTTCAGGAAGCGTTAAGGCTTTTGACTTTAACTGGCTATCGTATTTTAGCAGCCAAAAGAGATGCACCAACACACAACCTTTTATGTAATGTAAGCCAGAAGTGCTAAACATTACAATGCTGTATAAAAAAGGATTCAGAAGTAATGGAACTCCGTTTATACATTTCTTGAGCATGTCAGCAGTGAGAAGCCCATGTTTTCTTGTCCCTTTCAAAAATAAAGATATTCCTCTGCTTAAAATAATACAGGAATTTCATTTAAGACGCATCACTATATATTCTTCTAATAGTTAATAAGTTATTTTCTGTTTTTTCCTCACAGAGAAGTTTTGCTATCATTACCTTAAAGGAAATAGGCAGCTGCAGTTAGGATACTAGTTTTTTTTAAAAAGAAGGATAGGTCTTCATGAAAGTTACTGGATAAGAATTCATTGGTGGAGTGTGACCAGTTGACACCTATCTTCTTTTTAGTCAGTTTCCCCAGGGAAAAAAATAAACAATAAAAATAATCAGGCCATACCTTGAACTGCCTCTTGACCTTGTCTCGATCATGCTCAAAAGTCGCGGCTCTCTCCATGGCTTGGTATTTAGCTTCCAACGCGCTCTCCTTCTCTCTCAGTATTTTCTGGTAAGTTTTCTGCAGTGCCTGAAAACATCCGACGCACCATTTTTGCGGGCGAAAGTCCCTGCTGACAGAAACCCCGGCTGCAAGGAGGTTACCCCGGCACCCTCCATCCCTCTCCCCGCTCCAACCACGACGGCCGCCTCCCCCGCAGC